GGATTAAGACATGTGTGTTGGTTGACTGGACATAAAGGTTTATCACGTCTCGTTGTCTTGTTTAGACGGTTTATTAGCTCTTTCTTGCGCCTATGCAAATACTAGTTAACGTTAACACTGACATCCCGCAAACATATCCCACAGAGACAGATTACCATGTGACACATGCGCGACCTTTTCTCTTTCTCTTTCTGTATCTCTGTGTGTGGGTGTGTAACCTCTCCTGGGACCGCAGGAAACCGAAAAAAAAACCACGCAACAACTTCACTCTCGCATGATACGTTTTAATCGCGCGTCACGCAAATACGGCAATCGGATTACAGACCGAAAGGACGAAAAGGATACGCGTCTGTCAAAATTCCCCTTTGGAAACACAGCGGTACGCTCAAAACGCTTAAAAATACTTAAATACTTAACAGCGTAAATACGTAGCGTAATACTTGTATTGTAGGTATAATACAAGTAATGTCAACATTTTAAACAATGAAAAAGCGAGTGTAATGCGTATGAAGATGATGTGTGCGCTGTGTAGTAATCGAGAGTAATTTCATGTTCGGGTGAGTTTCGATGTTGAGCGAAATTACGCAAGATGAGCAAAAGTTAAGGGGATATAGTCAGGTTTAATGTTTAGATGCTTGTAACTTTTGAATTTATTAAGGAATTTTGATGAAATTTTGAGGGTTGATTGTTAATGTAATAAAGAATTATTGTTTGTAATATTGTTTCTAAAAGATTTAAATTACTAGGTGAAAATAAAGAAAAACAAATAAGAAAAATAAAAGTGTGTTTTTTTCTTAAAATGTTTATAACTTTTTATTCAGCTGACGGATTTTAACAATAAATAGTGAAAAATGTTGCTAATTACACGTATAATATATGTTGTTAATAATTTTGTTCTACGATAAAAGATAATGTGTCAAAAATCAAAAATAAAAAAGTGTTATGAAGATATTACGCTAAAAATGAATTTTTCTTTTAAAATGTTTATAACTTTTAAAATTATCAACAAATATTGATAAAATTTTGAGACTAGATTGTTATTATACTATAGTATCATTATTTATAATATTGTTTCAAAACAATTAAAATTACTAGGTGAAAATTAGAAAGAAGTAAAAAAATAAACTTTCTTGAAAAATATTCTTAGAATGGTTATAACTTTTAAACCATTCGATCAATTTTAATGAAACTTTCAGAAAATATTACTAATTAGACGTATAATACGTGGTGTTAATATAAATTACTTTGAAAAATAATTACTACCAAAAATTTAAAAAATAAAACGGATATTTTTCAAAACAACAATTCAATCCCCTTAACTAAAATTAATATTTGCAAAATGAGCATGTTTATACTCTGCTCTGGTAGCATGTTAAACAACAAAACTATTACACTCAGAATAAACATCACTAACCATGGCGAAGCCTAGATATGAACATTTGATTGCGCTTCAGCGCTTTACTTCCACAATTTTCAGCGTCGATTCAATTTTTTCCGTCCGGTAATGGTAAAAGACGCGACGCGACTCGCCAGCGCACAAAAAAACCTATTAGGATATTAAAAATAAATCGATTTGAAGCGACCGTGCCCGATGGATGCGTGCACTACAATTTATGCTTTAAGGGAAAATAAAACTCTCCGCGCGCACAGCAAAAAGGAAAAGCAGCAGCAGCCAGCAAACAAAACGACTTAATGGTTCGCGTCGAAGTCCACGCGAGGCCGGCGACCAGTTTGTACGAGACTTAAGCCTAGGTTGCGCGTTCCTCGTCGCTCACAACTCACAACTCGCAACTTCTTTCCATGCGCCTGTGGTTCAGTAACACCGGTAGCCATCAGTCGCCGGCAGCTTCAGCGCGTTTGTGTGTTTGGTCGCGCATTGTTTTGCGCACCGGCCGTTCAATTAATTTCTTCCACTTTTCAATTCGGAATTAAATTTAACCCGCATTAACCTTTCGTGTTATGTGCGCGCGCGCAGTCTAATAAGCAATTTAACGAATTGCACACGTCTTAGAAGTTCTAATATTCGTCTGGCTACCGAGCGGTGCTAAAAAGGAAAATGGTTAGAAAATGACCGGCGCCTGTGCGCGCTTCGAAGCGTCGAAATTACACTCGGACACTGGCTGCGCGCGCTGAGATTAATATTTAATAATAACAACAAGTAATAACAAGCGCCGCTTCGCAATAAATAACGATGATTTACGACTTTCGGCGCTGGGTACGAAGGAAATGACTTCTAGCTGGAGGCTGCTGGTCTTACCGAGGGAGAACGCAAGATAAGAGGGCATTTGATTGAATAATTCGATTTGGAAAGAGCAATTTTAACCGCATTAGAAACAAATTTTCGATTGAAATGTTAGGCAACTTTAACAACTTGTCATTTTGTTAATTCAAAAGATATAATCATTATTTATGTTTTAATATAAACTATAATTTATTGTCTATAAACTACAATTTATTTTAAAACAATACCTATGGTGGTTTATGAATTATTTTGGTTTAAAGAAAAAAATGAAAAATTTGGTTTAAGAAATGTTGACCAACTTTGAAGCGACGCCATTTTGTTTACAGTAAAGTTAGAAAGTTTGTTTGAAATGCAAAATATAGTGCAACTAATGCACTACAACATATGTTTAGTTCATTATTGTAACATAATTAGATTTTGAGTAATCCTAATTATTATAACAAATTACAGAAAAATCCATTTAATTATGAAACAAAATGAAGCAAAACTTTAAATTAGTGTAATTTTGTTTATAATTAAGATATGACTTTGATTTAAAAAGGAAAATAAACTGTAGTATTCATACTTTTACGTACACTTTATAAAAATGCACTATTTTAATTACTATCTATGATATTTTAGTTTTAATTGAACATTTCACAATGTCATCATATTTAATTAAATTTCAACTTCAAATGGCCGCCATTACATTAAAACAACCAATTAAACCATAAATAATAACAAAAACTATAAATTTATTCAATAATTAAAATATATAGGACTTGGAATCATATTAATAACAATTAAAACCATAATTTCTAATCAATTTTTTTAATCGAAATTTAAACAACTTTAATTTGTTGTAATTTTGTTATTTGTTAACATATAAACATAATTTAAAATGAAAACAAAAATATGATGATCTAACTCTTAAGCAAACTTAACAAAAAGGGTGTAGCATAATTAGATTTCCAGTTATTTAAGTTTTAATTAAACGTGTAAATTGCACAACATTTAATTAAAGTTCAACTTTGCGGCGCCGCCATTTTAAAACTACTTAAGTTACAAACAAAACTCAAAATACATTATAAACTATTATTTATTAACTATCTATTACTTTTTATTCCATACAAAAATCTTTAATACTTTATGAGATATTACATTTTTAAAATTTTTTGCAAATAAATTTTATAATAATCAAGATTTATAACTTTTTGGGGGTCAAGAAAACTAAACGAGTGGCCGGTTTAACACTCCCAAAACTCTTGGCCATGCAATATCACAGTGGAATTGTGAACGAGTGAAACACTTGTTCTCAGCTCGCCACCCTTGTACATAGGGGTCGCAAATTCCTGCAATGGTCGTGATTCCTATCAATAAATCACCGCTCTCGCCTTCCCGGTCACCAAAATCCCAAAGAATTCCTCGGGAAGGAAGAAACAAATCTCTACAAATCGTCTAATCCTGCTTGGAATTCGTATCTTTCAAAAAATCAACAAAATCATGAAAAATATTTTTGTTATTTTTGTTAATTTTTGATTTTTTCGCAAACGCAAAAGTCCACGCAGCTTTGTTTGCTTGCGGAGTCACATTACGCGCGATAAATCATCCGCCAGATGGCATATTTTAGCATTTCTAATGCGATTGCACTGACGTCCCGGCAAGATATATCGATAATATATGCACTTTAAATAGGCGCCCGGTCGTGTTGTGTTGTGTGACGCCCGACACGAACACACCTCCTCCTGCGAGGGGAGTACTCGCAGGAGGAGAAAAGACGAAAGTCAAGACCAAGCGGCGATTCCATATGCAGGCAGGAAGCGCGCGAAGCGGGCGAGGCCTTCAAGAAGTTTGCAGTCGTCATACGCAGAAGAAATTTATTTTACTCGGAAAGAAACATCTGCGAGCGGCATTCCCAGCCAGAGGGACTTAATTCTTTATTAATCAATATGAATTGTTTCTTTTGCGAATTCAATGCGAAGGCTGCGAATACTAAATGAATGTGAATAGGAATTTTATACATGAATTGAAAAGGGAAATTTTGAATTTTTTTGCTTGATTTAAGATTACTCTGGAAGTATTAGGGATATTTTTATGAAATAAATAGTAATCGATAGGTAATTAGTTAAAGTATAAGTTGTTTGAAAATAGTTTTTATATGTTTAGTATAAACAAAATGGCGGCTTGGTAAAGTTGATTAAGTATCTGAAAATATATTTTTATTTTTTTTGTTGACTTTGAGTTAATGTAATTTTGTTAATATAAAATGTGTCTAATTTGTGTGAACTTGTAATAAAACTAGAATTTATTATCTATTAATAACAGTTTAGTTCATTAAAATATCTTTTATAGTCTTTGAGATATTTAGACTTTAAAAAAACAAAACAAAATTATGAAAATAATTGATTTAATTTTTCTTGATAACTTTAAGACGTTGTAATTTTGTTAATACAAAATATTAAGGCTTGGTTTAAACTATGAATGAAATTACGTAATATTACTTATTGATAGCATTTTGTTTGATAAAGATATCTGTAGTAGTTTTTGAGATATTTGAAATTTAAAAAGACAAAAAAATTACAAAATTTTAACTTTTAATTTTTTTGTCAATTTAAAATTGTAGTAATTTTGTTAATAATAATAATATCAACTTTATCTAAACAGTTAGCAAATCTACAATACATATTCTATTAACTACAATTTGATTGATCCACATATCTTGATTAGTTTTTGAGTTATCCACAAAATTACCAAACGTTGTAAAAAAAAAACACAAAAATTTTAAAATTTCATACTTTTATTTTTTAAACTTTTGAGGTTAGAATAAGGTTATATTACGCTTCAATATCATGTCGTACTGCTGTGGCGTAATCTCTTTCAGGAGCTGTTATCCGTGTAAAGTCCAAACTAACCAACTAAAGCAATTAATTTTATTTTTAATTTACAAACACAATAAAACCATTAAAAAAACAACTTACTTGTGGTAACATTGAAATCATATACTGCCTATAAGACTTTTTACTGTAAACAGGATTACCGTGAACAGTCAGAGCCCGCAATTCAGGCATGCTTTTCAGTTTTACTATTTCTTTAGGATCCGATATTTTATTACCGTGTAAATATAAAATCCTTAAAAACGGAAATCTTAAAATACTCTAAAAAAGAAAAAATAATTGATTATTATTTTATGTATCAAGTGGCTAAACTGGAGTTTAGCACCCCGTGACTATAACCTATGACTAAAGTACTTTAGCTACGCTTTTGCTCGTCTGTGTTTAAAGTATCACTTTTTGTGCCTCAAAACCGCATTTTAAAGGTGGAAGTAGAAAAAAATAATTAAATTGAGTAGTATATTAAGTACGTAGTGGCTAAACTAGAGTTTATGTCACGGAATTGGTTAATAACAAGCGTAGCGAGCGTTTAATAAATCGAGTGATTAACAACGTTTAGTCACGTGATGCTTACGCTACTTTTTCCATTTCCACTTTATTGCACAGGCGCATACTCCACCCGTTACTAAAACCCGTGACTGAAGTACTTTAGTCATGGTCGTGTTTAAAATACACTTTTTGTGTCACAAACCCACATTTTAAAAGTAAAAGTAGAAAAAATTAATTATTAATACCCAAGTGAATAATACTTACATTATCAACATCAGTTAATTTATTAAATGACAAATCCAACCAGGTCAAGTTAATCGGCTCCTCCAGAATGGAGTTGATAAAAATATCCAAATATTTAAACGATTTAAGGCGATTGTTATTCAACCAAACTGCACGTGTCGCTAGTTTATTATGCGGCCCACGGGCAGGTGCACCAATACGAACTGTTTGTACATTTTCAGGCTTTGCTTCTAAAATATCCATCAAAATATTTATACATTCATAATACTATACTTTATACACTTCATTACTCACCTCGTAAAAGACCAAAATGCATGAAAGTAAAATCAGCCGGTTTCTCCATAATTATTAGATTCTATTCACTAAAATTTTATATTTAGCATTAAAAGTAAACTGTATGATTTGTGATGGTAATATTTAATGAACATAGTATTAATTTCACAAGAATTTTGAATTTATGGTAATGTATTTTATGAAGTGAACGAGCTGACTGTTAGGTTGACACTGGAGTGACTTTTGGCAAGTTTATGATAGGAGAGATATAAAATAGACAATCGATTGTCTATGTGATTATTGTTGTTGTGATGTTTATAGGTTAGGAAAGGTTGCGGTGATTGATTGCTCACATCAGTTTATTGTTTTCTGATATTTTTATTCACATCAAGAGTATGTGAACTAGTTTCGTGTAGGTAAGGGTTGTACACTGTGAGGGTCGTATGTGGGTTGAAAAGTTTCGTACCAGTCGCGCTGGGTTGAACTCAACACATTATTCATTCTTATATTTATATTATATGTATAAGTTTTTGTGCAAGTTGGTGAGGAATGCATAGATTATAATCAAAAATTGCATTTTTTATAATTTTTAAAATATTTTATAAACTATAAGAGATAAATGCATGGAATCAAATGTGGTTTATAGAGTGTTAGTTATAGTTTATATTGGTTTTTGATTTATGTTTGTGGTGATTGTTTAAACAAAGTTATGATGTGGTAAAGTTGCAAAATTATTTAAAAAATTAAATTTTGTAGTTTTTTTGTGATTTTAAGTTCCGATAACTCAAAAAGTTTTTAATAAAAATTAATAAAACAAATTATAATCGATTAGTAATTAGTCTATCTACAAATAACCTAAAAATAATTTTGGTACCTATCATATAAACAAAATGGCGACGTGTTAAAGTAGCACTTATAATTTTAAAACATCAATATCTAACATAACCTAATTCTAACCTCAAAACAAAACTTTTTAAAAACTCTAAAAAAATTTACATTTTATACTTTAATGACAGACAATCATGTCCTTGAATTTAGGGTGCCGTCTACTGTGTCTCTTACAAAAGGGTGGATTTGATTAGGAAAGCAATCAGATGACGAATCAAAAAGGGCGTTACGGCAATACCAATCTCATCCCGTGCGCTATCATTAAATTCTTCTTCACTCTGCAACACTCACTGCGAAACTAATTAATTAAAACTTTTGATTGCCACGCTTAAGTAGACTTAAATTAAGTTTAAATTCAACTTAAAGTGAACTCAAATTTTTTCTTCCATTTATCGCAACTCCGATGCTGCGATGGTTAATGGAGATTTTTTCTCCGGGGGGTGGTTGGCGCATGTAGAGAATGATGAATTTCTCGCGCCGCCCTGGATGTAACTTACACACATGAGCGAAAAGCATTCCGTCTTATCTGACAAGTGACGCGCATTAGCGACGGCCCGTTATCATTAGCAAGTCGCCGAAAAACCCTGCCCGGATGGACCACGACCCTTTTATATACACTATGTTCAAAGGAAATATTTGAAAAAAATATTAAAATGTTTTTTCTTTGTGTGAAATTAATTTTTAAAGAGAAATGATTTCTGTGGACACACTGTATATTTTTGGTATACTGGTGACATGATGCTAGTGTGTGGAATATGCATGCGGAAAAAATTCCCTTCTGCACGTCACACACGACTCGCTAACAATGGATGTCTTTCTGCGGCGCGCACGCGGAGGCGGCATGCGGAGGCGGCGTGTGCCTGGGGTGCGGGCGGCGGCGACGGTCAATGTTATGTTGTGGTGCGATTTTTCCACGTCACCGCAAGGCGACTCTTTGTCTGATAAGGGAGACGCTGTCTTCCTGCAATCGTGTTTCACATTAAGGATAACCAAGGACAAAATTGTACTAACCACAAAATAAAATAAACAATTTTTGGTAATTTTGAAATATTTTGGAAAAGAAAAGAGATATATGCATGAAATAAAAAGCAGCTTATAGAGGATTAGCTAGGGTATATTTTTGTTTTTAGTTGAGTTTTGTGGTGATTGTTTAAACAAAGTTATCGTCTGTCAAAGTTGATAGATTATAATTGATTTATAAATAATTTTGTTTTCTTAAAACGTAAATATCTCGAAAACTAATAAAGATATTTACATAAATCAAATTGTATTCGATAGATAATAACGTTTTATTTTATTATTTGTTTAAATGAAATCAATATTGTTTATATTAACAAAGTTACAAGACTTTAAATTTATAAAAAAATTAAAATTGATTTTTTCAAAAATTCTCAATTTTAAACCGCCGCCATTTTGTTTATACTAAAGATACAAGCACCATTCAATAAAATAATTATACCTCAACTAATTACCTATCAACTGCACTTTATTTTATTAATCTATCTCAAATACTTTTCGAGTAATTCACATTTAAACAAAAAAACACAAAATTTCCTCCTAATATTCATTCACCTCAACAAAAATAAACCAAACAAATAATATTTTCATACAAATAGTTCTAGTGGACATAAATCTCAAACACTTCTTATGTATATCACGCACATAGTATTTTAGAGTCCTTGCGAGTCCTTGTCCTACGTGCACACATTTCGAATGCGCTCGCAGGCGGACAATATCTAACGTTTTCGCAGATAACGTTTATTAATTAAATTTTCTTGCCTGCGCGCACCCCCGAAACTATAGAACTATGAATTCGGCGAAGAGTACTGCGAGTCCTGCGCGTCATAATTCACGTCGGAGGTTTGAATCGCGCACAGCGGGACGACAAATTTCGGCGGTGGTTCTTATCTCGGCGGGAGGTCCTGCAAGTCCTGCATAATGTCATGCATTCATCGGTCTAATTTACCGTACGTTCACAAACAGGACAATAATAATGTATAATGTGAGTGAGATAAGATTATTCTTCATATAATTAAATGGAATTTATGTTTTTTTAAAAGAAAATTGTTTAAAAATTGTTTTTGTTGTAATTGGTTGATAAATTTTTAATTTTGGGTTTGTTTTATATTTGGGGTAGTTAAAAAGGGATTAGTGTTTAATTTTCGATTAATTTTGTCATCATGTGTGTCATCATCATCAGGATAAATCAGGATAAAGTTTGGTCCTTATTACTTGAATTTTGTATTTTTATGTTTAAATTCGGATTACTCGAAAAGTTTTAGAGATAAGTTGATGAAACAAATTGTAGTTGATAGATAATTAGTAAAAGTATGTTATTTTAAAAAATGGTTTTTGTGTCTATTATATAAACAAAATGGCGCAGGTTTAAAGTTGTATAATTTTGTAAAAAAATATTTTTTATTCATGTTACAACTTAAAAGTGTTTTAACTTTGTTAATAATAATAATATTGACATTATTTAAACAAATAATCAAAGTAGATGATATTATCCATTAATGACAATTTAATTTATGTTGATATCTCTATTAGTTTTTAAGATATTCATCATTTAAGAAAAACAAATTTTTTAAATCATCATTATTTATTTATCAACTTTAATGCATCATAACTTTGTTTAAACAATCACCACAACACTCAATTAAAAACAAAAATATACCCTAATTAATCCTCTATAATCCTCTTTTTATTTCATGCATTTATCTCCAACGGTTCCAAAAATATATTAAAAATTACCAAAAAGCCGCCTGTTTTACATTCAGCGCAGTCAAAAAACGATTAGCATTTAATTTTCGATTAATTTCGTCCTCATCATCATCATCCGAACGAATATTCCAGCTATTGCGGTGGCGGTGGTGAAAAGTGCGCCGCTAAAACTAAAATCATTACTATGTTAATCGTATGCAAATCGCGTGCGCTGCGATCGAACAATATGACGCGCGTTTTGAATAATCCTGAGGCAGGACTCGTCCTCGTCCCTAGCACATCCACGACGAATATTAAATGCGAGCGGTCTTCACGAGATATTAATTGTCACTGAGTGCGGCCATTATCATTATGTCATTAGCGCACAATAATTAATTCACAATAAAACTAAGATAAGTATTTTTAGGAATCTACAAGGATAATGGTAATAAGGATAACAAAACAAAACAAAACAAAACAAAAGATATTTTAATAAGAATAATAATAATAATCTTAAATAATGAAGTAATGGAGAATCATGGAGGGCTATTAATATGATGTTGTATAATGATGTTGTGTTATCATGACATCTCTAACCGTAATCCACCCTTGTTATCCTTGCAGTGCGCATGAAAGGGATGCGGCTAATTAATAACGCTTATATTTTACTTCCTTTGATTTTGTTAGGTATTTAATATTCTTGGGATATTTATATGTTAAGTTTAAGTTAAGTTGAAGATTTGGGTTAATTAAATGTAATTTTTGATAAAAATAGTGTTATACAGGGTGTTTTACATTGTTTTGAAGTAAAAAAATTTATAAATTAAAAATGGTTGAAGTAATATTTTTAATTTTTAATTTTTTTGTGGAATTTTTTTTGTAATTTCGGAAAATTTGGTTATTTTTGTGTTTTTTGCTGTTTTTTTCGTATTTTTTATTGTCTTTTGTTATAATAAAAGACTGGTCAAATTTATTTTGGTAATTTTTTATCTATGGAATATGTTTTTGACTCAGATAAATGTATATCCTTTAAAATACACAAAAATTTTGAAGAGAAATTTTGCAAAAAATCGTTTTTTTTTGTGAAAAAATTACGAAAAAACACAAATAAATAATAAATTCAAACATAAATATAGTAAAAAATTATATTTTTATATTAGTCAAGTTGTAGAAATAGCAATAACCATCATTACACCCTAAAATAAGCCCTTAATCATCCCTTAAATCAACGATTTCAGTGTTTTTTTCTCATTTTTTTCTAAAATTTTTAATTTTTTAATTTTTTTTGCAGTTTTCGATTGTTTTTGTTAAAATTAAAGACTAATTCATCCAATTATAATAATTTTTTATTTATTAAATATGTTTCTAATGAAAATTTACGTATAATTATGAAAAATATTAAAAAAATTTCAAAAATTTTGCAAAAAAACGCATTTTTTGCCAAAAAAAAATTACAATTAACCCAAAATAGTCATGAATCTCAGACAAAATATAACAAAAAACACCATTTTCTTACCACCCGTGAATAAAAATAATAATGACCACCATTACACCCCAAATTAATAGCTTCCACCACTCCTAAATCAACAATTACGTCATTTTTCGCCCATTTCTGGCAATTTTTTCCAAATTCCACCAAATTCCTCCATTGTTTT